ACTCTTTACGAATTTTTGGTATTGCTATTTGTTGACAAACTAAAAGTGGCCAAAATATATAACGGACTCCACCATTATATTTCTATCGTCAAAACGTTCAGAAAACGTATTTGGATTATCTCATTTAAAGAGTGCAGACGAAGAAACTGCGACTCGGGGTGCTGACCCAGACAACTTTCTCAAATGAAAGATTTGACTGCATCATCGCGTTTTTATTGTCGAGCTGATTGAAAAATATATATGGTTCGTCTTGTTTGAAGTTTAGATTAATTAATTATATATTTTTTTTAAAAAGAATTAATTATGATTTTCGAAGATTATTTGCACCGGATGTGCAGCAAAACCAGCCAGGCTGGTTTGGGAACCAGCTAGGCCGGTTTTGCTGGCTATATATGGCTGCCCAGCGCCCGAGGAAACTGGTCAGGCCGGTTTGGGAACCCGTCAGGCCGATTTTCCTGTCCTATTCCGAAACAATTGGTTTTCTGAATTGGTTGTAGATCTATTTTTGGCGTGGAAAACTTAGAGATTACGGCCATGTTCGGCTACTCAGATAAACCGGCCGGCTTACCAGCCATGGTACAATCAGCCGTACAAATCAGCACAAGCGGCTTATAGACTAGCCGAACAAGGCCTACGATTTGGGATGAGACCACCCCCTCTATATAAACGAGAGGATCACGACCGATTGAGGAATCCAACACCCAATCGTCAAAATACAATATAAACCCTCTTTTGTCCTATCTCTTCTAATCCCATGCGGTTCATCGCCTAATCTGACGATTAAGGATGGCGCCCTAAGCTTGCCGGCCGACCTAGGGCAATCCGGCAACGTCCTTGTTCCAACAGGATCCCTCCCGAGCAAGAGCTTCGACGGTTTCTTTGCTAGTTTATCTGAAAACTAGTCGTTCTTCATCACGCCAGTACGAGTGGTTATCTTTTGGTGGTTTGCTTGTAAATCATCGCCGCGTTCTTCGGTCCGTGCGCGACTCAGACGATTAGCCCTAGCTGGTGCGTGATCCGGGATTAATTCGAGGTCAACACTATTACTGTAAAATAAAATAATATAAAATAAACTAGCAAAGGTGATACGTTGAAAATAGCCGCAGATGCGCATGTAAGAAAAAGCGAAGCCGAGCATACACATATTCACGTCACCAAAATTCAGACACACAGGATCTGCTGATTTTTTAAATTGTACATAGCTACTGCTTTAGAGCAACTTCAATAAGACCCTACTTAAACCCCGTATTTAAATATGGGGGCCGAGGCAAGAAAAAAGAAAAAAAATCTTGCTCGGGTCCATATTAGGTCTCCGGAATCGGGCTGGCCACCCAAATTTAGGGTGCGTTTAGTTCCAAAAATTTTTGGATTTTGGCTCACTGTAGTATTTCGTTTGTATTTGGTAATTAGTGTCTAATTATGGACTAATTAGGTTCAAAAGTTTCGTCTCGCGATTTCTCGACCAACTGTGTAATTAGTTTTTTTTTATCTATATTTAGTACTGTATGCATGTGTCGCAAGATTCGATGTGACAGTTACTATGTAAAATTTTTTGGCAACTGAACGGGGCCTTACCCTCCAGACCCGTTCCTGTTGGCCCACACGCCGGCCCCCATCCGGTTGTTGCGTCGGTTTCCCCCGCGCTCGCACCCGCTCGTCCTCGCCCAGCGCCGGCGCACCTTTCTCCGACCCTGAGTGCGGCCTCCTCCACGCCGTCCATGCCGTGGAGACGCCGATCACACCGTGGAGACGCCGTACGCAGCCTCCTCCAAGCCATCCGCGCCGTTGAGACGCCGAGCACGCCGTGGAGACGCCGTGCACGGCCTCCTCCAAGCCGTCCGCGTCATGGAGACGACGGCGCGGCCTCCTCCGCCCCAGCGCGCCCTCCTACCTCCGACCCCACGGATCTCGCGGCCATGGATCTCGCGGCGTGGATCTCGCGGCAGGGCCTCCTCCAAGCCGTCCGCAGCTCCCTCCGCCGCCGATGGGAGCGGGCCCCGGCCGTCCGCCGCCGCCGGTGACCGCCTCCCTCCACCGCGCCTCTCTCCCGCCCCGCAGCTCCCTCCGCCCTGCTCGCAGCGTCTGCGCTGCGCTCTGGTTGCGTGAAGGAGGAAGAAGGAAAGGGGAAGAAGAAATAGAGAATGACGAGCGGGTCCCATTTGTCACTGTGTACAGAAATATATTTGGGAGCCCAAATTCGAGTGCTGCTGATGTAGCGAAAGCAAAAAATGAAGAACTCAAAATAGGGGGAGCACCCAAATTAAAAGTAGGGGCTCTGATTTGGATGCTCTTGGAGTTGTTCTTAGTCTAGCATTTGCATTGACGAAATGATATGGATCTCCTGATTTTTGAAATTGCACATAGCTAGTCCTTTAGTCTAGCATTTGCATTGACGAAATGATATGATCGCCTTCGTAGCATTCGTCTAATGACGATGAGTGCGGCTTACACATGTGACTAGTTGGTCAATCATCATTAGGCAGCAGACGAACGGCAATCAAGAGAAAACATGGGGAGCAAGAAGAATCGAAGCTGTCTCTCGTGCAAGGGACAGCCTGGGATTGGGAACGATATGGGCGAAACGGAGCACTGGAGCGTAAGGTCTGGCGTGTTCGCTTGAACTTATCAGCCAGAATTTATGGTATTTTTCTCTCACAATAAATCAGCTTTAGTCGGTTTTATTATCAACCGAACATACCTGTCATCTCCAAAACACATTTTCCATCGATGGGAGGGATGGATGTAACTAGGCACTATATTAGTAATTTTTAATGGAGGAATCTTTATTCCAAGATTAGACACTCAAAACCTGATTTCTCTTAATTCTAATTCTACTTTCAAGAGTTCAACGAGCTATCCACATGCCAGGAAATAATTCTAATTCAGCATAAAAACGTTTCTGGGAAAAAATTAATAGATCTGAAACACTTTTGTACCGGGAGCCGGTGGGTGCATCAATCATTTTGTTCAAACTGGAAATCGTCCAAGGCGTAGCACTAGCGCCACATGCCGCATCTCAGGCCTCTGCCCTAGGGCACATCTTCCCATCTCAGGCCTTGTCGACTTGCCGGCATCTTCTCTTTCCTTATACGTCGCTAGTACATCCAAGTTTGCTCAACAGATGCTAGCCACATTTGAACCTGCCGCTCTTGCACCCGATCGACTATGTTGAGTTGTTGACTCCCGACTCGTCCATGTGCTCGCCACCTAGCTCAGGCCCGGAACACTCCGAGAAAGTAGACAGCGATGGCGCTGAGGCGTTCCCATGGCTCCACACGGAGGCTGCCCGAGCAAGCCGCATCCGGCGGGAGGGCCGGCCACCGCCCGCCGAGCATCTCCAAGAGTTTTCTACTTTTTTTTCTCCTAAAAACTTGTAGTTTGGCAACTCCTAAAAAAATCTGGGGAGGAAAAAAAAGGTCATCTCCAAGAGTTTCTAATAAATGGCATTAAAAAATTAAATTTAGGGCCCACGTGAATTATGTTGTAGTTTTTTTTCTTTTCCATGTCGGCCCAGAGCGCGACGACGGGCCCGGCGGCGGCGGCGGCGCCAACGATGGTGGCCACGACGCTAGTCTGGGCGACGGGCCACCTGTAGGGGACGCCGATCGCGTCGAGCTCGGCCCGTACGAGCTCGCTGGTGCGGTGCTCCTAGAAGTCCAGTTCGGGGCGCTGGTGGATGCGCCGCCGCACGCCACGCAGCCACGCGGCGAACCCCAGCGCGCGCGCCTCGCCGAGGAGCTCCTCCGCCGCCACCGCCACTTATGCCGAGGCGAAGGAGAGGTGCGAGCAGAGCAGGAGCGGTAGGAGGAGGAGACTGGAGGCGGAGACGGCGCCTGCCATGGTGGAAGTGGAAGAACGAAGATCACCCGGCCGGTGGCAACAACCAACAAAGGTGGAAGGAGATCACTAACTGGGGGGAGTCGGAGGCGGGCAGACGGCTTCTTGAGTCAAGTGGTGAAGTGAATCGAACGGCCCATTCGAGAGCGCCGAGTCATCGACATTGAGCTACCTGCCATTTGCGTTCGGGATTAGACTTGGCGGGAGTCGAAGGATACGCGCGAGGCTGCGGAGCGTAAATTTACGCGAATGAGGGGTTTTTTTTTTCAACTTCTAGAATATTAGGAGATTGTATTAAGAGTTATTGGAGATGGATTTTTTTTTAGATCTTTTTAAAAACTTAGGATCATGAGAAGGTCTAGTAAACTGTCGGAGATGCTTCTGCGGCCTCGGTCACGACTCACGACTCGCACAAAGGGATGGACACTGCGGCCTGTGGGTGCGGGAGGGCCACAAACAGTATAACCGATTAACGGAAAGCGATAGGTCGTGAGTCGTGGTTTCGTACGCCGACTCATCGTGTACCGCGAGGAGAGGAGCGAGCGAGCGAGTGGACGGGTAGTTTCCTTCCTCGAGTCGAGCCTTTATCGGGAGGGGGGTTAACGGCTCGGTTATCTCGGGGGGAAGCAATAATTATCGCGCCACCTGCCTTGCTTTTCAAGCGTTCCCGGCCCAAAGTCCCAAACCCTATCAAACCGAGAGTTAATTAAAAACGCGCGTTTTATTCCGGTCGTGCCACGCCGCGGCGTCCTCCAGAGCTAAACTAAACACCACCTGCGAGTCATAAGGAAGGAAGGAGGCGTCCAAACCACAGCACCCACGAGGCCACGACGTATACGCTGTATGGCCGCCGCCGCCGCCGCCTCGTTTCTTTAACGAAGGCGCGGTCGATCGTGCGCCGCCGGTATATAGCATAGCAGCTCGAGGAGAAAAGGGAGGAGGGGTAGCGTTCCGTTACCATTCGCGGCCGCCACGATCCCGCCGTCCCCGAGAACGGGGCTCGGTCTCGGAAGGGGCGCATCGCCACCAGCCTCTCATCATTGTTCGCGGGGAAGGAACGGCCGGGGGTCTCGAGCCCTGCCGGCCATTTCGCCCCGCCTCGCGAGATTCCCGCCAAGCCGTTGGCGTAGCGCGGGGAAGGCGGCCATCTCGGGCAGGGGCGGATGCTGCACAAATGGAAGGTCGCGAAGGGCGGTGGGTGCGCCGGCGGGGTCGCGGGCGGCGGCGGCGGCGACCAACGCCGGCGGTGCGTGGCGGCGTCGCTGTCCACGCTGATCGCGGCCACACTGGCGTTCCTCGCCTACGTCGCCTTCTTCCCGGACGACGGCGCGCACGGGCTGTACCGGCTGTGGAGGTGCCAGGACTGCGCCGCGGGCGATCTGGGCGAGTTCCCCGGTGACGACGTGGCAGCCGCGGCCGACGGTCCTTCGGCCGCGCGCGTGGCCCGGTCGCCGACGACGCTGTCGCACGTCGTGTTCGGCATCGGCGCGTCGGCGCGGACGTGGGACCAGCGCCGCGGGTACGCGGAGCTGTGGTGGCGCCCCGACCAGATGCGCGGGCACGTGTGGCTCGAGGAGCAGCCCGTGAGCCCGTGGCCGGCGGCGACGTGCCCGCCGTACCGCGCCTCGGCGGACGCGTCCCGGTTCGGGGACCGCGCGTCGGCGTCGCGGATGGCCCGGATCGTGGCGGACTCGTTCCTGGCCGTCGCGGCGGAGCTCGGGAACGGCACGACGGCCCGGGACCGGGAGGAGGTGCGGTGGTTCGTGATGGGCGACGACGACACTGTCTTCTTCCCGGACAACATGGTGGCCGTGCTGCGCAAGTACGACCACGAGGAGATGTACTATGTCGGGGCGCCGTCGGAGAGCGTGGAGCAGGACGTGATGCACTCGTACGGCACGGCCTTCGGCGGCGGCGGGTTCGCGGTCAGCTACCCGGCCGCGGCCGCGCTCACCGAGGCCATCGACGGCTGCCTCGACCGGTACAGGTTCTTCTTCGGCAGCGATGAGCGCGTCAAGGCCTGCCTCAGCGAGCTCGGCGTGCCGCTCACCCGCGAGCCCGGCTTCCACCAGGTGAGACCGTCCTTCCTTAACGCTAGCTGCTGCATTGCATCTCTTTGTCCGTTGCCACTAAGCACTTGCATACAGTATGCTTCCTTGTCAACTAGAATACTTATATACTAAAAAAAGAATTTCAAAATGACATTTTTTTAGTAAGAAGAGTACGCAGCTTGTGTCTAAGTCTAAGCAAACCAAAAATGTCCTTTATAACCATCTTAGGTATATCGATAACGGATTATCTGAGCCTTTGATTCGCATGCCAAATTCGGCTCCGCTGGTCATATTGCCGAAGTTTGACTGACCATGCTGATTCCGTTCGATTTTCCCTGCATCACCCTGGATCAGAGCTTTTTGACCCAACCTTTCACCGTTTCCCCCAGTGAAAAGGCCTCAGGCAGGCTAGCACCTTTAAGGATCCCTTGTCCTGCGTACTGAATCCACCGAAGCATCTTTCGGTTGCTGCAAAAGCAGAACCTATTCCGGAAATCAGTGGAGCCCGGCTGTTGCGCCGTGGAGGCATGCGATGCGACGACGGAGTGACGGACAGTGCCATCCATGACCATGGCCTATTTTTCGATTTAAAGTTGCAGGACAGCGTGGAGTCGCCGGAGGCCGGCCCGGAGCCAGACCTACTTGTCCGTGGCAGTCCTTGAGTTGAACCGAGCGACACCTCTCTCGCTCCCTTTCACCAGTTCACCCCATGTGGGCATGTGGCGTGGGTATCGAGCAGGACAAGCGTCGACAGGCCACGGGAGCAGGGCACTGACTGGCCTAGCCAACCACCGCTAAAAAAATGGACACCCCTCTCTTCTTTTCTTTTTGCCGGGCACCACGCCAGTGCGCCATTGCCACCACGGCATTTCTTCTGCCGTGCCCCAGCCGGCGTCGTTAGTACTACAATCAACCAGGAATGAAAAGGTAGATTTTTCTCAGCCAAATCATATGTGTTGCATCTTGTTGCTGCATGGTCCCAGGCATGGGCATGGGCATGGGCATGGGCTCGATGGCATTGCCAACAATCCCGGAGGCCGTAGCAGAGGCTACCTGCATTTTGGGCGTAAGAGATGCGCCGCTCCGTGTTTGACCTTTCGTTGGGCGCACTAACCAAATGATGAAACCGCCGGACGCCTTCGCCGTAGACGTTGAGGCGTAGTGGTGGTGTGTCCACGACCACGATGAGTGGCTCATAGTCAGGGATGAACACACATAGAATAATTCCCATCGTGTCTCCGTTCGTTTTCTACGTCAATAGAATGGGAAGCCGAATGAGGTGCTTTTACATGTGTTTTTGTGGGATTGCGTTTTTAATATTGGCCTCGTTTAACACTGTTCCTGTTGATTTATTATGAGAAAGAAACACTGTTCCGGCTGAAAAAACAAGCTGAAAAAGACGGAATATAAGAGAAACGAACATGACCACTATGGACTCGTATAGACCCCTTATTTACAAAACTTGGATAAACTTTAGCAGTTATTATTATAACAACCTTTAAACATTAGGTCCTTACGTCAAATATTAGTTCAAGGATTTAGAAAGTCCTAATAGATGCATCAAGAAGCCCGCAAGTTATTTCAACAAGGCTCCTAATAACATGCCAAATAGGCACATTGTCATGATGTGTTTGGTTCCTGTTCATATTTGTTCATCTTGACATTTCCGTCTATCCCATTTTTTTTATTTGTCTACTATCCTGATCCTGTTTCGTTAAATGTTAAGGGGTTTTCTTTTCGTCTATTTTCATCCCCGCTCAGAATAAGACTTGATTGAAGCTGTCTAAGGGTGTTTTTTTTAGTGCGTAGAATGTAAAATGGCCGGTTGTGATCAAATGTCTCTGTCTTATCTCCTCCCTTCTTCCCATGCTCGCCGGCCAACCCGCCTCCCCGTTGACTCTGATGGCAGCAATGCTAGATCCTTTTCCATCCTCCACAACCTAACACTAAAATCAATCTAGTGTGGCTCCTCCACACGATCTCCTTGATCAATCTAATATTAGGATATTGTGGCTTCCTCCACGGAATAATCTCCTTGATCAATCTAATATTAGGAAACCATTGAGTGAAGCTCGTTGAAACACTATATACTTGGCCCGTTTGTTCACTTCACTAGTGAAGCCATTTTTTTTAACTTCACTTTCACGAACAGCTCCACCGGTGGAGTGAAGTTGTTTTGGTAAACCGTTTGGTAAAATGGCTTCTGAGAGCATGTTTTTAAGGGGGAGGAGGAGGAGGGAGAAGCCACTATTTTTGGCTTCTTCCCACCCTTTTTTATGTGAGAAAATCGCGTTTTTGAAACCATCCGCCGAACTGCTCGTTGAGTGCTGTGTAGCTTTACTAAAACGGCTCCAAGCCTCGAAGCTCCTCTTGGAGCCCGTAAAGAATAGCGTATTGGAGCCCGTAAAGACCGTATCGGGCGGGGGCGGTTGTGCCCAAATCTCAACGTCGCCATCCCTAGAGCGTGCCGGTAGTTGGTTGGTGCGACGCATGACCTCGCCGGGCCAGGTGTGTGGCCGTCCTTTTCCGGTGACGAGAAATTGCCGGTCTAGGTGGCGCGAGATTAGGCGTAGCGTGCGCCGCGAGGACTAGGACTGAAGCGTGTCGGACCCTGGGAAATGGTGAGAATCGGATTGCCCCTGTAACTTGTGTAACTGGCGTGATTCGCTCCGGGGCAGACGGCGCAGCATCCCATCGTCATTTGCTGCCGTGCAACGTCGCCAGAAAAAGACTTGCCACTTCCTAGGACAGACGACTCGCGACCAAGTTTCATCACACTGGGCCTTTTTAGATCACCTCTAAATTCCAAGTTTTTTCACTCTCTCTTCGTCACATCAATTTTTAAATACATACATAGAGCATTAAATGTAGGTAAAAAAAATAACTAATTACACAGTTTGGTTGTAAATCACGAGACGGATCTTTTGAGCCTAGTTAGTCCATGATCGGACAAAGTTTATCAAATACAAACGAAACATGCTACAGTGTCCAGGTTGCAAAAATTTGCAATCTAAACAAGGCCATGTTTTGATTTTTGAACCGTGAGCCGTTCGACTTCGAACGTGGAGTACGGAGTACTCTTCAGATCTGCGACATCCCTGCGTTTCGTCCCGTGGTGCACACTCCGCCGGGTGCCGTTTGTCTCCTTCTGCGTTTGAACCTTTTTCTGCCAAAAAAATATGTCATGAGGTACCATCTGGCCTCGAGAGTCTAGAGGTCCATACGCGTGCAGAAAAGTTACCAGTACTCCAACTGCTTCTTTACTTGTTTTTTTCAGAGAGAGTCATCGCAGCTTTTTTAAAAAAAAATTGACACACGTCGCCCGTGCAATGCTTGCAGGTGGACATCCGCGGCGACGCGTACGGGATGTTGGCGGCCCACCCAGTGGCGCCGCTGGTGTCGCTGCACCACCTGGATCACGTGAAGCCCATAACCCCGCGGGGCAAGACGGCGCTGGACGCTGTCCGGCCCCTGGTGGGCGCGTCCCGCTTCGACCCGGCGCGGGTGCTGCAGCAGAGCTTCTGCTACCAGCGCGGGCCGGGCTACGTCTGGTCCGTCTCCGTCGCGTGGGGCTACACCGTGCAGGTGTACCCGTGGGCCGTGGCCCCGCACGAGCTGGAGGTGCCGCTGCGGACGTTCCGGACCTGGCGGAGCTGGGCCGACGGGCCGTTCGTGTTCAACACGCGGCCGCTGAGCCCGCACGACGCGTGCGCCCGCCCCGCCATGTTCTTCCTCAACCGGGTCCGGAACGAGACGGCGCGCGCCACCGTGACGGAGTACGCGAGGCACGCCGCCCCGTCGTCGGAGAAGGGGGAGTGCGACAAGGCCAGCTTCCGTGCGGCGTCCACGGTGCACACGGTCAGGGTCATCGCCCCGAGGATGAGCGAGAGTGACTGGAGACGGGTAAGTGCCGCAGCGGCGTCTGTCCCGATAGCCTCTCTGAAGCTCTGATGTGCTTACACGTTGGACCTGGATGTGTGTTTCAGGCACCGCGGCGGCAGTGTTGCAAGACGAAGCGGACGAGGTGGGGCTCGGTGCTGGAGGTGCGGATACGATGTTGCGGCAGAGGAGAGCTCACGTCGCCGTAGAACCATCCGGTCCATTTTCGATCACTGTGATTTATCCACGGAACGCCAACGAAAATAGTAATGGTGGAAGGCATGCTATCCGTGCTCACGACTCAGAGAAGCCAGGTCCAGTTCTCTGTCCGGCAGTTGATATTTTGATTGGAGAGTATCTGCCTGCTGGCGACAACAGATTGTCCTCGCTGTGTATAAAAGCTTGCATTATTACCTATACGCGACTGAGATATACAGGTCACACATACATGGGAAAATCACATTTTTATCACGCTGTAATGAAGTACAAATTGGGAAATAAAATCGCCCCGTACCATTCTGAATGGTACAAATACGAGAACTCACTAGAGAAATTTCATATCATACCCGTCTTCTGTTAAATACTCAAATACATGAGTAATTCTTTGAGTCTTATATAGAACGTGTGATTCTCACTAAAGGTACTTAATCATGCCAAGCTGGCAGGGGAGTAATTCTTGGCTTCATGGAGTGAACTTGGAATCTAAACAAGTTCTAGTTCTAGTTGGCACCAGAAGCTCTTTGTTGTGCCATATGGCTTAAAGGGAGAACACTTGTATATGTATGGGTGATATTCAATTTGCACCACCAAAAATACACTAAAAAAAGGTGTACCTAGTGCAGAGAACTCCTGCTTTATGCAGGGTCTGGAAAAGGGTGTCAGTGGCAAGCCTTACCCTCGCTTGTACAATGCGAGGAGACCACGACTCGAATCCGGGACTTCCAGTCACATGCACTAAGACTCTACCGCTTGCACCAAAAATACAGTGAACAAAAAAAAACTGCATTCAACTAAAATTATTCTTTTGCCAAAGCATCATGCAAAGCTAATGTGGGTATCCATTTGAATAACTAGCTATATGCAGCCTGTTCGTTTGGTTGTGGCTTGTCATAAACGATCGTAAATTTCCAGCCGGAACAGTATTTTTCTCTCACACAAACCATCCAGCAGTACTTCTTCACGAACCAGCAACTAAACGAACCAGCCAACCGAATAGGCTGATGTTTCACATGCTCACAGTTTTTTCTCATATGATAATGAAAAAATCAATTTGCTCATAACAATGAGAAGAAATGGCAATGCCATTCTCTGAACTAAGACTGCAATGAAACATCTTAAAGTTGAGTTATCTGATACAAAGTGCAGTGAAGCATCTAAAGTTCAGTCTGATACAAAGTTAATTTTGAACTTTCAATTAATAACTAACTAAATATGTACAAAATTAGTTAAATTAACCATGTTCAACTCCAACTTCAGAACTATTTCAAAATTTCTTCCGGCATCGGTGTTATGGTTGCTTTTGGTACTTGATCACAGCTCCAGAATGTTTATATCCCCCTCTTAGGTGTGCACAACCTCTGCTAGGCTCTAGGGCGTCTCTGATTATACAAAAATAAATGTGAGATGGAAACTTTTCTAATCAATTCACCCACTGAAAATAGATACCATTCATTCACTAATTATGTGCAGAGAATAAACATTCAATCCATTGCATTAGAGAGAACATGGCAGCAGACACAGGAGGTGTGACTTCGGCTATTAGATTACTGGTTGGTTGCAGCACATACACGAATGGAAGACGCAATCACTGAGATGGATGGTTTAGTCATTAGAACAGAAGGCAAAAGAACAATTTGCCGAAGTGTATTGTGGTGTGCTCAGTCATTAGATGACTGTAAGTTTGCTATCACTGATGAACAATTTGCTGAATTATTTTCTCTATAGAGTATAGAGTAAGCAATTTTAGGTTGAGACATAAATGAGGTTGACTATTCACTATTATTATTCATTTATCAACAAAACACAAGGGCTTAAGAGTCTCGAACCAAAGGGTAATGGCAGTGGGACTTACCTGGATCAATGGAAGCTTGGGTAACAGGTGCCGAACGATTTCAATGCTGGATGCAGAAACTCTGCATGCTCCTACAGAATTGAGGACAATTAGACTCTCAAAATCTTAAAGTGGAAAGCACTGCAGAGAGGTACACCCAGAACTACGTTTTTCCCTTTGTGATTTGTGAATTCAAGTACGCAAAGAATTTATTAAACCAACAAATGGAGGATTAGTGTGTGTTTGCTGGCTATAATCAAAGTTAACCAAATACAGTTGCTCCCCACTCCTTTTTACATTCAGGAGTTACCAAAAACATGGATATTTTACATACATGCATGCAAGAGTAAGTTCTTATATCTTCTAAATTTTGAAATCAACATTTTCTGAATTTTAAGATATATAAAACTTCTGAATCCAATATTTGTACTTCTGAATCTTTGAATGGAAGAACAAAAATAACAATCTTTGCCCCAAACGTGGATTAATCTGACCAAACTAAATAGGCATATCTCTAAGGAAACACATATTTAGAATGGCATGGTCGTTTGGAAACATAAAATATGCTTGGATCTTGCAAAATAGCACTACGATACTGCAACTGCTCTTATTGGAATTGACATGAGAGAAGGATTTTACAGGGGGACATGCCGGCACCAATATTTTCAAGTTGATATCAACCATTCATACATGAGAATGAACTTTAAGCCCCATACATAGTCGGATATTTTTATAATGCAATGCACAAGCAACACAACAGTTATAGCTTTGAATTTTTGAAGTAAAAAAACAAGTTAGCAAGGTCTCAATATTATTACCATCATGTCCAGCTGAGTTGAGTGCTTCCAAAATTCTTTCATGGCCTCTCTTTGATTGGTTCCATTTCTGAGTGTGCACTGAAATACAGAAGCCCACTTAGAAGATAGTCAAAAATTTGTTAAACAGAAAAAATCCTTAAGAGGATGTGTTGATACTGAACAACAACAAATATGGTGTCTTCCAACATACCTTATTCATTGCCGACACGGCTTTGCTTCCACCTTTCATTCCATAAGTAAGAGATTGAAGTGCCTGCATGTTGGCACCTATAAGGGAATCAAGTCAAGGAATAAATGGTAGACCAGATATATTCACATGCCGCTGCTTCAAGAATAAAAGAACAATTCTAGTCAATTTTCAAAAACAGTAGCAGCCAAGGAATCAAAGAATGTCATCTATACTATCAAGTAGACAGATAAATCAGCAAAATGATCTGAAGTTCAAGAAAAAGACATGACGTTTTAAGTTCAAGAAAAAGATATTTCGTTGTCCCTCGAACCACCTATGCATGTCCATCATCGTTCACCAACCCTTTTATGCTCATGACCACATATAAGAAAACAAAAGCATGAATTAATTAGAGATTTAATCACAGCAATGAAGCATTACAAAAATCACAAGAATCATGCAGCAGCTCATTGGGTCCCCCATTTGCTGTCAGTGTGCTGTGCATCTTAACTGCAGGCAAAGTATGCTCATGTTTCAGTGTCAAAGTTGACACCAATGCACCTTAACTAATATCAGAGTTATAGGTGGAACTTTAAACACAATTGAGAAGGTTTCAGTTGTCGGCTGTAACATAAACAAACATAAGTTACGTGACAAAGATGCAAGAGAGTGGATACAATTGTGGATAGCCACTTGCTACTAATCATCTACTGGTTTGATTAATGCAATGATGTCCTTGATACACTTGTTCAGCACAATATTGTCATGAACAGATTCAACCATGCTAAAATCCGGCAGCCATCAAGTAACATGTATATTTTAAAAATAATAAAAATAAGGAACATAAATGGATCCTCTTAAATCTTAATAACACTAATCTATCAGGAGCCTTGCTCACCTCCCATGAATCAGGCTGCCGTAGTTGCCCTCTCCTCGCTCACGTGCAGGCCTCCAGAGCCACGGTAGCCTCCTATGCAGCCGGCCATCAGAGCAGCTCTCGAGGTGCTCGCGTGGGTCGCTGGAGCCGCCCTCGCCATGCTCGCGTGGGTCGCTGGAGATGCGCGTAACCTTGGAGGGGCGCCTGCCAGGGCCGCCGCGGGGGCGAGCTCGCCCGCCGCCTGGGAGCTCGCCCGTCGTGGGGCCCGATCCCGCCCGCCAGGGAAGATGGGGCATCTGGATCGAGTCTCACCAAGGTCACGTGTGTCTCATCCTCCACAGGGCTATGGTCCGCAACCGCCGTCTCGCTACAAAGGCGAAGGTGGAGGCAACACCCTAGGGTTCGGGGGAGGTGAGTTAGGGAAGGGATCTGGAGGGATGTTGGGTGCGGGGAGAGCATGGGGCTGCCGGACGGCGTGATAAGCGATGGGGCGGGCGGCACATCGACGCGGGGCGAGGCAAGGGTGGATCGGCGGCGTACTGGGTGGCCGCCGCCGCGAGGAGCAAGACAGGTAGCCTCAGCTTAGCGGCTTCACGGCAGAGAGGGAGGCGTGGGCGAGCGGCGGCGTGGGCGAGGGGGCGGCAGTGTGGGAGAGGAGGTGGCTGCGTGCGCGTGAGGGAGCGCGATTGGAGCGAGATCGCGGGAGGGGATGGAGGGGCGCCGGGGGAAGCGAACGAGCGAGCGAGGCATCGTACGCTGGATCGACGATTCCCTTATAAATATTTTAGTTGTAGAGATATATGCAAGTACAATTATTCAGAGCCACGCATTGGACAAGGTTCTCGATGTCACTACAGAATGAGGAGGATAGGGATCGTGTGCGCAATTCATATCGCATGTTGGGGACCACTACAACGGAGATCTTTGCTAACTATGGATGGAAGTTTAGCAATATTAGGTTATTACCAATGGAGGGGCTATCTTAATGCATAGCACATTGTTATCTAATAACAACTGTTTGAGGCTTCATGCTGCGAGTTCAGCTATTGTAAATAAATATTGGACATATGCATCAGAAAATGTAGAGGCTGAGATATGTTTTTATTTCATTATCTGTAAAAGAGTTTGGCACCTTTTACATATTTGGTCTTGTTGGCTTGTTGAAGTATTTTGGTGAAGTAGACACAAGTTCACATCAACTTATGTTCTTAGGCATCCACTCCAAAGGTATTGAGATTGTGCAATTGTATAGGAGGAAGGAGTTTGTGATACTGGGTGCGGTGGTTTTCTTGTAA